AGTGGCATGGCATTTTCCTCGAATATGCACTGTCCTCATTTGAACCGCTGACTCATAAATTCCTGCTAACTATGATCATAAAATCTAATTCCTCTGGAAACACATATTTTCTTCTTCCTACGCGGAGCCAAAATGGTGGCAGCTCGATAGTTTGTTTTTCTTGCTGTGCTGTGCACTATGTTCATGGGGAGCATTTAGTGGAGCATTTAGCCTGTGTGCTAGCCATACATTTTCATGTATTTTTAATGTAGTTTTCCTATAATCTGCCAAATTGACTCGTCTGAGCTTTTAGCCAAGTTAGAATGTTGTTACCTCACCAAAACCTACCTGGAGTTTTTGTTTCATTCATACAGGTATGCATAGCCCGTTATTATTACTGTCTGCTTTCTTCAAAGCTCTAAAAGCTCTGTTTCACCTTGTGATGTCATGAAGCGGTAGTTTTCAAGTTAACAGCTACCTTTTACATTTAGTTCAGTAAAAATTGGCAAATCGATGAATGAAATTATCCAAATGATTCTAGTGAAGGTGTATGGAGTTTAAAAACACAGTGAAGCACTTCCTGTATTACCACGTGATATCAGACGTTGGAGCCGAGTGTTTTCTGTTTGAGAGAAGTCTGTTCGAGAAGAAGACAGAATAAATATGTAGGTTTTGTGTGTTAAACATGTGCGACTGAAACGAAACACAATTGAAGAAATGTTTTTGATAAGGAAATGACATTATAACATAGATCAGAAAATGTTAAAATAATATTCCCTTTAAAATTAATGTTGGTGATGAAACATTTATTTATTTCTAAGTGTATGATTGGAAAATAAGTGTTATGATGATAGGGTAGGCTTGGTTAATAATAAGTCTTCTACTTTCTCCTATAGGTATAAACCATATTTGCATTTGCCCCTTGGAGGGCCGTAAACATATCAGCGGTTAAATTGCCTGCACGGGTTCAAATGTATTGTTTAAAGATGTGTGAGCCATTACTGTTCTCTGATTGGTGCTGATACAAGCCCTTTAATTGCCTTGAACTGTCAATGGTCATTTTGGCTGTCTGTTTGAAGGCCTTGAAATCATGTGGTTAAATGAGGTCGGGAAGTACACACACGCACACACACATGTACACACGCCCGGGTTTTCTGTTGATGGCAGATAATTGGTTAGAATAGCGTGGAGCAGTTTCCCCTCTGTCGTCCCTGTAGCCTGGGCTGCCACACTGAATAACAGGGCTTATACAACATGAAAGACTAAAGGATGAACCCTGATTTTAGCTCCACGCACAGAGAAGAGCAATTAAGGCCACGAAGTTCAAGGACTTTAAACGGGAAAGCGGCCATTTTGAATTAAACATGTGAGGTTGAAATAATGCCACTAAAGGCTATGTCGTAGCATTTAAAAGCTTGGTTTTATCAACGCTTGGCTGACTTTTACTTTATAGCTTGCCCTCCTAGGATAGAATGTTCCACAGTATGGCATTAAACAAGCAGACAAGCATCTTAAGTCATCCGGCAAAGTTACAGGTTAGACACGTGGAGAAGCAAGCCCACTCACTGTAAGAATATATCTACTTAAAACTTCAAATCCTGCACCTCCACTATGTTTTTAAACTCCATACACCTTCACTAGAATCATGTGGGTAATTTCAGCCCTAGAATTTTCAGTTTCGATTAAACAAAATGTAAAATTAAGCTGTTAGAACAGAACATTTTGAGTTTTAATGATGTAGACATGCTACTAATAAACTATCAAACATGTGTGAAAGCAACAAAACAACACTCCAGGTATGTTTTTGATGAGTGAACAACATTCTAACATGGCTTAAAACTCACAAGAATTGATTTTGCGTTATGTAGGACCTTTAAAGTACATTTAAGTTTGTCTCCCGATCTATTATTTTTCCTGGCTCTAGAGAGAGGAGCCAAAAGCGGTGGCCCAAAACGATTTGTAAAGCGCAGTACAAGGATATGTGCGGGTGCGTTTCTCTTGTCTGCCATGGCGTCCTTGATGGGGATAATGCTAAATCCCTGTCTCCCAGGGTTACGCTGTGTAAGCTGACTCTGCAGCCTCATGGTCCTGTGGAGTGTACAAGTGAGGAGCGCGTCCATGCAGCTTTGAATCAGAGCCTCACAAAATACAAGAAATAAGCTGCTTTGGACTAGGCAAGGGGACGATATACAAATTTGGTGGCACGATTATCATGGCCAAAGTAAGCGATTAACGATTATATCATGATAATAATGAAAGTTGCTGACCGTTTCAAATATGTTTTTGATATGAATGATGATCATTTGATTATCAATAGGTTCCATATTTAAACAACTGTTATAGTGTTGTACTTTGTTAGTGATAGTGAAGAAGAAAAAGAAGAAAGCATCATGGATAAGTATTTATTTTCTGCACATTCTAGTGATTGATGGAGATTATGTTTGTTGGCGACTTTGGATGCCAAAATGTGAAGGTACTCTCATACAAGGCAGGAGACTGGGAGGGACAAAGGGGCATGTTGTCTCGGGCTCCAGGGTTTTAGGGGCCCAGAATTGGACCCTCTTCCTATTATTTCATATTAGAGGGAGCCAATGTGAGACTTCTTGCCCCGGACCCCCAAAATTCATTCGACGGGCCTACTCTCATATACTCCAGGAAAGGTCTGGGTTGGTGTGTTGACAGTCAAATCTAACTAAGTTAAAATGATTTGAATTGAGAGAGTTTGATCTTGATTTGAGTTCAGTTGGTAAGTAAAATGAACTACCAGTAGAACAGAGTTTTTATTCTTGAAATAATAAAATACATCTTGTTATACATACAATAAATGATACATATGATCAATTAAAATGAGAAACAAAACTTTATGTGGCTTGAATCAAGAAGAAAACACACTTGTTCCATTGGTATCATTTTACTAGTCAAGTTGAATCTACTCAGGTCAACTTTTGCAGTGTATTGGGTGCAGTGAGTAGCATAGCCATAGTCATAATTAATAACCATAACCATAATTACTGTGTCAACTTATCCTTCAATATATGAAAGCCTGGACAGTGTATTTTGCGGCTCAATTTTATCGTATGCACATTTTCTTTACAGTAATGGGGATATTTCTTATTTTGTATGTAAAACAAAAATATCTGAGCAGCAGAGGGCTAAAAAAGTTAATTCTGTGGCCAGTAATTGCTTCATTCTGCTATTTATTTGTTCTTGCTCGAGCCTATTAGTTTTACTGTAGTTATATAATCATTTGTTTACTGGGATAATCCTTCTTCATTGTTTTTGTGTCAGTGGCATAAAGTAGTTACAATATTATTGCTTATCAGTACATCTTTGTAGCAATATGTCATGCTTCAGAATCTGTTATTGTGACAGGAGTACTCTGATGACGACTGATTGCTGATCTTTTTTTTTAATTTTTTTTATAATCAGTCTCAATGGTCCTAAAAATGCATTAACCACATTCGTATTTGTAACTGCAGGCTATAATTTCACATAGCTCATTTTGATGCTGTTTAAAGGTGCACTGTGTAACTTTTCTGATGGTGAATCTGTTGCAGCTTCTGTCCATGGAGATGTTGCCAGGAATCTTCCACAGTATTGCATTACTTTAATTTATCTCTACGGAGACAGCAGGTGGCGCCATAGAGCCAAGTTACATGTCAGATCTGTAGTAAAAATGCAAGTTTTGAATGTAAGTCAAAACCCATGTTATTCAGTAAATGCAAGATGGATCTGTTTAATGCCATACCAGAACATTCTAGACAAAGTAACACTATCTCCATGGAGACTAGCAGATGATGGACTCTCCACCAGAAAAGTTACACAATGCACCTTTAAAGTGCTAGTAATGGCCCTGTGAATAGGTCCTGATGTCACCTTTCCTGTCAGATGAAAGGCCCTGCAGCCCCTCTGTGCTGCATGCCCAAAACTGAAAGAGCAAGCCGCCTCCTGGGGCACTGCTCTGGACATGAGTCTTTCGAGTGCATGCGGAGATGGTATCTGGAGCACCTCTGCAAGCCTAACATATGCAAAGCTTAACCCTTCACATATTGCCTACATGTATCTTATGCAAATGGAGCTGCAACCTCCGCTTCCACCGTTCCACTGTAATCAATTGAAATGCCTATAGGAAGTGGATAGCTGCACTTAAATGGATTCTGTGCGCCATCTGCTCCCAGAGCTTTCCAACAGCACAGTCTTCATTCAGACATTTCATTTTGTGTTTGCGTGTGTTATGTTATTTGTCAAAAAATATCCATTCTAACGCAATTATAAAGGCTTTTGCAGTTTTGTAAGGAGACATGTAATCACTGCTCTTAATATACTCAGTGGATCATTCTCAAGTCCTTTGTGTATTTGCTTTTAACTCCTCCACATGCAAATGATGCCGTGGACTGTACAATACATATTTAAATCTAATTATGACCCATTATGTTTTTCCTGACCAGTGCTGACCTATGTGAATAATGCTGATGTAAGACTGGCCCAAGATCTCGTCTAAATTATCAAAGTGTTGTGCTACTGTTGTGTATTCCTCTGTCAGCAGGTCAAGAATTGTAGAATGGGAGTTTATAAAGATTTTTCAGTTGCTATCCAAAAGTCATTTTAAACATTTTATTTCATGGGTATCAAACTCAACTTCACAGAGGGCCAAAATTTAAAAGTCGTGGGCCAAACAAAATATTTATTGAAAAATTTCAACATCTGCATGTTTTCTCTTCTTTCGAGATATGTGATGTTTAACCTTTTCTTTTTTTAAAATAACAGTTTAATAATAGTTTTGCTTAAACATTGAATCCAGAACAAGCATAATATAAAAAAATATATATATGACAAAATTTTAAATAAGTAATGTCTCTATAGCCTATCTGTAGCCAGCGGGCCAGCTCTAGTACTGATAGGTGAGAAAACAGGGTAATATGAACCCTTTGTGTTTTTTTTTTGTTTTTTTTTCTTTCTCTGATTCTTTATTCTCAAGTTAAAAGAATGGTGTTATATAAAGATACTGTCTCTCTCTCCAGGTTTTATCTACACTTGTGGTGGGACCATGAAAGGCCGAAATGGCAGTATAGAGTCTCCGGGTTTCCCTTACGGCTATCCCAACGGAGCCAACTGCACCTGGGTCATCGTGGGGGAGCACGGCAGCAGGATCCAGCTCGTGTTCCTGTCATTCGCCATAGAAGAAGAGTACGACTTCCTGTCTCTCTATGACGGCCATCCACATCCAGCAAACTTCAGAACCAGGTAGGACGACACACGACTCCTGCTATAGTCTGATAGGAAGAATATGAAATGTATGTGAAATGTGTATGTGAAATGTATGATGAATTATAGAGGATGCAGATGTTCTTAACACAAACACGGCCAAACCAGGTGATCGCAAAGGTTTAGTTAAAATGGACCAAGGGGCTCACTACATGGGCTAAACTCCAAAACTGAAAAATAGCTTGTTCAATTTGTGGTAGAGTCCTGCACGGATCCATTTTTGGAGACCCGCGCCCGCACAGTACAGCACCGCACCTGCCCGTTAACCCATGATTTTCAGAGACATTATTTACTGAGATTGAGATGCCAGACTTTTGAGCCACACGCCACGGACTGAACCAGGACTAAACCAAGAATAAACGAGGGCTGCGCTCTGTGCCCGCGTAGACCATCGAGTGACCGCAGGAAAAATGCATGGAGGTAAGCGCAGCCGTCGCCGGATCACGCTTGCTCCGTCGGCTCGGGGTTCTCTCCCTCTCTTAAGTCCAATATTAGTCCTGGTGTTGTCCTAGTGTAGTCCTGGTTTAGTCCTGACTTGTCCGTTTGTAATTACTACCTGTCTACATACCTGCATGTAAAATTCCAGAATGTTAAAACCTTCCCCTACCTGGTGCAGGATTTGTGGGTGTGCTGGGTGAATCCAGAATCCAGAGTCTTGTAACATTCAGAACAAAATATATAACTTCTTTTACCTGAAATAAGTAGTAGTTTGTCGCTTTGATTGTTGATTCTGTAAAAATCTGCACTTTCTCAGTCCTTTTTGCAGATTTTCTCCTTTTTTTTTATGTATAAGCAGCCCTGTTTCTTTTTGACACGGAGCATGCGTCTCTCTGATTGGTTAATCCGCCTGTCAATCACACCCTCTGAAATCAGGGACACAGGATACAGCTCTAGATCCACTCGTCTTTGTAAAGTTTTGTCAAATCCTGTGTGGTTCTGGCTGGACAGGTTAGCAAATTACTGTAATATAGGCAATTAAGTTTATGACTGAAGAAAATGAACTATTATTCCTGTTACTGCTAATAATACTACATAGGGAAAATCTGCACTGTGTCTCCTTTGACGTTTTCATTTTTGCTCCACTTTTGGTTCTCTGTTTAGCATGTGAGTAAACTTTAATAAATAAGGCCAAACCAGGTCTTAACCAGGAATGAACTTGAACATGTTTTTTTGTGTTTTTCAAGTATTTTCTACCACAATACTTTTTTTTTTCTGAGAAAGCAAAGTGCTATGATGGATTTAGCCTGTCAAAAAGAAGTAATTTGAAAATCAAGAATAAGTTAATGTTACTATTTTGCCACTGTAATTTGTATGCTTCTTTCAATTTTCACATTTTACAAAACAGCCCATGACCTTGACTAATAATGGTCTTTCCTTGGGCATAAAAGCTAAATTGTTCGGGCTCAATCAGCACCTCTTTTATTTCCAAAATTTCCTTTGTGTTTCAAGAAGCCAAAAGCCTGTTGAAAGAGGCTATTGTTACCTCTCATTGTGTCATGATTTTATTGAGAGGTCAATGAACGCTAATAACATATGTCCTGACTCTTTCCATGTTCAGTGTGTTTTCAAGAACTGTAATTATATTATTACAGTGCTTCATTTCCCTGGTCATGCTGGAGGGTGCTCTATTGTGTGCGGGACTGGACTTGGACATGTATTGATGCTACTGATCTGTGCTGCTGCAATGAGTTCAGTCAGTGTTAAGCAGAAGAACTCTCTAAGCGTGCATGGCCACAGTACTTTTGGTTGGGGGTCCGTCACCTGCTTGTTTCTAAGGATATGTCACTGCTCTGCCTCGAATGTTCCACAGTATGACATTAAACAGCTCTACCTTACATTTATTCAATTATGGGTGGATTTATAGCTTAAAAATACCTAGAAAAACAGGTGTTCTGACTGCGTGTGGGTTGCTTCTCCACAGATCTGACCTGTAACTTGGTCTGGTTTGGTCTCCATGACGATAGAAAGGTTTAATACCATACTGTGAAACATTCCAGACAAAGAAGAAAAGCATTTAATCGACCCTTGACCAGAAAAGTTACACAATCCACCTTTTTAAATAACTTTTTCAGCTTATCATTTAAGGTCAATGAAAATATATTATGCTCTTTGTGGAGCATTATTAATTTGCTCATCGTAAACCACAATATTGATCTGAAACGGCTTCATAACAGAAACGAGGTCACTGACTTCCCGTTAGTCATAGTGGCGTTTCATTTTACAGTTTACATATAAAATGGCTGTTTTTGAGATTTTAACCATGCCATAATATGATCCATTCGTCATACTCCTGATTAAATTAAAAACTTGAAATATACTTTTACATTATATTGGCCTTTCCTTCACATTCTGAAAACAACACAAGTGCAGAAAAAATAAGTGTTCAAGTATTGGTATAACCTTAACCCTTCCTTTGAGATAAAAAAAATTAAAGAAAAAAGGATTTTTCTATTTATCTTTGTGTTGTGAAACTGATTCAGCTATAAAGAATTTCTTAAACCTGCACAGTTGGCCATGTTGCTTTGGTTCAGCAACAGCATTTTTACATAATTTTTAATCAGCCCGCCTCAAGGACTGACCTTTATGGGACAATCCATTGGCTTTGTGTCCGCAAATATTAGATTTAATGAAATTAAACTAAACAAAGAATCAAAATCAGTGGAATACCACTTCAAAATCAAGTAGGCCGAACACACAGGCTTTTATTTCCTGAATTGGTAAAAGGTTAAATCATGTCAAACTAAACATCATTTTTAGAGTGAATATGTTTCGCCATGGATCCGGATAGCTTCTAAAACTCTTTTCTTTTTTTCAAATTAATGAATGCAGGAAAAAGTGAAAGCCAACAAATGCACGATAACAAACAAAAGCAGAAATGGCAAAGAACCATTCTCATAAAAATAAAGATGGCACAACAATCTAGATTGGAAGAACGGAAATGCTCCATCCGTGCCCCTCTCGCTTGATTAGGATTTCCTGCTTATCTGAAATAACAGGAAATTATGTGTTGCTCAGTGCTACTCGTTGCACATGGACTTGTACCGTATGTGTATGCAGCAGATTTAGATCCTGCACAGTTACAATCAGCCACTTGGTATAAGCCAAATTACCTCTTTCTTCCTCTCTTTCTGTGCTCCTCTTGTCTTGCACTCACTCACACATGTGCGCTGGTGGACATAGGGCAAACTGCTGATTAAAAGGTCAGATCCATTTACAAGAAGAAAATGGTGATTATGGCTGGAGTGATTAGCATAGCTCCAACACACACGTTCCCTGTGTCAGCCATGCCCCAGTGTCCAGGGCCAGCTGAGGGGGCTGGCTAATGTCTGGGACTCTGTTCAAGAACAATGGCAAGGACATTTGAACCAACACAAACACTTGAGTCTACAGCAGTCATTATAAAGACACTGCAAATTATTATGATTTATTCATTAACTGGGCCTGTGTCATTTTGTTCTTGCAATGGTGATATTGAACACAAAGTCTGACACAAATTGGATAATTAACTACATATATACATACATATAATAATGTATAACTTAGAATCATTAGTTATTTACAGAAATAGTTTGTTCCTGTACTTTAAGTGAAAGAGCATTAAAGTGTAAAAACATTGACTGACATTTACAGTGTTTATTTTTAATTATTTTGTTTTACCAGCGTCTGGATTTTTGTATTATTATTATTAGTAGTAGTAGTATTTGTAGTAATTCATGTTATGTGAAAATTCATAATTAAACAGTATTTGATATAATTTCCCTCTGTAAATGAAAATAATTGAAAACTGCATTTCATGTTTACTTTGATGGTCTTTCTTAATTATCTAGTTTCATGGTCAGTAACACTTAATTGGAATAAAATGCAAGAATATTATGTGAGACTAAAAGTGTTCCTTTTAAAATAATCTATTAATCATATCTGAACTAAACAAATTAACACAATGTTGAATATTTTCTAAAGAAATGTCCATAAACACATATTTAATAACTAATCCACAAAGCTTTATGTGGGAGATCACAGAGAAAATGTGTTAATTGTGTGAATTTAATTACAGAATTGAACACAATGGCATATTTCATTTAATATACAACTATTATCCAACTACTGAATTTAATTTTAATTTGTTTATGGGTAGTTTGACCTGTTTTTTGTCAAATGAGACCCCAGAGGCTAATCCAGTTAAGCTACTGGGAATACTGTGAACAAATGATCATTGTAACGCTCATGGTCCCAGAGGAGCTCACAAACCTGTTTATGGGTTACAGTTTGTTAGTTTCCTCTGGCTTGGCCCTAATTTTACATTGGCCATTGGCTTACGTCTTGCCTGCTGCTTAAGGGTCCTATATTACACACAACTGACTCTCGTGAGCTTTAAGACAAGTTAGGGCCTGTTTACATGAGAACACTTGTGGGTAAAAACGACAAAATATTATTGGAAGTGCCTTTCCTTTAGGCAGTAACGCTGTTTTTGGAGCTTAAAAATGCAAAAATCACCTTCCACCTTCCAGAGTGGACACTTCACCGTAGCGTTTCTATCTACACTGCCCTAGACAAAAACTATGAAGTAAGAAAGATTTCAGAAATATTTGTACGCATATCCGTGGATATTTGGGAAATCCGTGCATATTTGTCTATATTTGCGCATAAAATAAATTTTTGTAAACTCTTGAATGAGTCCAGTTGTGCATAAAATATTATTTTATGCATCAGAATACGAATTGAAAAGTTACAACGTCAAGAATTACAATTACAAAACAAAAATGTACTATTACGCTTTCATCAGTGCGAATACAAATTGACGTATTTTTGACAGTAAAGTTGCATCTGTGAATTCGTATTCTTACTGAAGAAAGGGTAATCGTAAATTTTCATTTCATGATTGTAATTCTTGACGTCATGACTTTTCAATTTGTATTCTGATGGATAAAATACACACAATATATTTTATGTACGACTGGACTCATTTGAGAGTTTATGAA